CCAGAGATGAAGAGAGGACCCAGCTGCCCTTTCCCACCCCAGGGTGGGTGACAGGGGTTACATCATTTTTCTGCTGCTCTCTGTCTGGGCGGAGGCTCGCTCTTCTTCCCCTCTTGGCCACTTCCTCTCACGTCTTGCTGGTGGCACGATCCCAGCATCCTGTGGCCCCAGAGTGCTGGGCACCACTGACCTGGAGGAGCAGGTGGGGCTGGCTGCAGGGAGAGACTCAGCCAGGTAGCCCCCCCGACGGAGAAGGAGCCCCCCCAAACATCGGGGCCATCCAGAGGTGCGAGAGGGGGACCAGGACGCCCGGGCTCCATCCCTGACCCAGGGGAGGTGCAGGATCCTAGAGGGTTAGAGAGGGGGTGGGGGCAGGACTCCTGGGTTCTATCCCAGCTCTGGGTGGGGGGCTGGAGCTAGGCATTGTGGGTTCTCTGTGGGTGCAGTCTAGTAGATTAAAGAAGGGGGGAAGAGGGGAGCCAGGACTCCTGGGTTCTGTCCCTGCTGTGGGAGGCAGGGAGAAAAGAATGAATGTATGGAGCCCTGACACTGGCACTGGGGTGGGACGGGACTGCTGGGTCCTCTCTCCATCTCTGGCAGGAGAGCGGGGTCTAGTGGTAAGAGTGGGGGGAGGGGGCTTGGAGCCAAGACTTCCAGGTTTTCTCCCGAGTTCTGGCAGGGAAGTGGGCTTAGGGCGTGGGAGGGGCGGGAGCGAGGACTGCTGGGTTCTCTTCCCGACTCTGGGGTGGGATTCTCAGGTCTGGAGGGGGGACCTGCCCCCTCACAACCAGCGTAACCGGAGCCCCCAGCCGTGGCGGGGAGGGGAAGTGGCTCTGGGACGTTAAGTCTGTTCGTGCTCCTCCCTTGTGCAACAACTGCCCTGGTTGGACATCGCAGGGCTTGGGACCCCTCCCGGCACCTCTCAGCCTGTCGGTGAGCTCCAGGACTCGGCCCCACAAGAGCCCCCGGGGCAGCCCCAGCTCTCCCCACAGCCAGCCCTTTGGGGGAGGGGTCGTGGGCTTATCGTGGGAAGATCCGTTCCCACGGCGATGCTGCCTCTCTGCAGGAACGTGCCAGATTTATGGGCTTGGCCTGCCGGGGTGTACCCACCGCTGACTGGGTCACAGGGCCCTCCCTGGCGTAAAGCCCTGGGCCCCGCTCCCCTCCCATAACCCAGGAGTCCTGGCCCCCTGCCCTCCCCACCTTCCCCCGCCCCTCCCAGAACCAGTAACAGAACCCAGGCGGCCAAACCCCCCGGCCCGCTCCCGACCCATGGGAGGGTCTTTGCTGAACAATCATTGAAACCCCACTGAAATAAAAAGGCCCAGAGGGGTCTGTAACTGTAAAAACAATGAGCAGTCCTGAGGCACCTTGGAGACAAATATAAATATATCTATATCTACATAGCAGCAAAACCCACTTCCTCAGAAGAGCTGGAGAAATGTAACAGGAACCTAGAATTCACCACAGAAAAAGAAGGGAAAAAAGTACCTTTCATTTGTAGGTCCAGTTCTAATGAGGCTATTTGAGTGGGCTGGAAGTGTCCCCTAGTTAGCTTTTGAGGTAAAAGTGTAATGTTCAAGGCAGGGCAGGCTGGCTGTGTAATGCGACATCCAGTTCACGTCTTTGATCAAGCCGAGGGAAACTGTCAGATTTGCAGATGAAGGTCAATTCCGCGCTCTCTGTCTGCGATTGGCTGGTGAAATGCCTTTGTAGAAGGATGGCTACTTGTCAATCCAGGCCTGAGTGTGTGGGCGGGTTAAAATGCGCCTCCATATTCCCACTGAAATAGTCATAAACAATCCACTGAGTGTGGTGCAACACACAACCACGCACAGGGAACCCGCATTTTGATCTTACCTCTGAACTTGTTAGTGGCTGGTATTTCCGTCCCTCCTCCTGCAAACATCTGACAGGTTTTGAGTAGCATGAAGTGAAATATTTTGATCAAAGTGGAGCGGGGGAGGGTTCAGTGAAAAATGAAAAATTGGTGACACTAAAACATTTCACAAATCTGGGCCATTTTCACCAAATTGTTCGCATCAGGCTGTGACGGACCGGGCCGTTTCTGGGCACAGCAGGGGGCATCTGCTGGGCAAATTGCTCAGAACTCGGGGCTCCTTACAGCCCCAGACTGGAGACCTTCCAAACAAGCTACAAACCCGTCACACCGAGCACTTCAGCTGCCTGCCTGAAGCCTCATGAGTAAAACCCCCATTTTGAAAGTTTTCCTTTGGACATGTTTGGAAACAAAATGTGTCGATTTTAAATGACTTCTCATTTGGGTAGATCAAGTTTTCAGCTACTCAAACCGATTAAAATTGCTCAAGATGCAAACAAGATGGTTCCTTTTGGATTGAAGGAAACGGTTCCCCAAACTGATTTTTCCTGACTTTTTCAGTCGCTTAAAATTGTGAAAAGCTTACATTGTGGTTGAAGGAACAGAAGTTTGACACCGTGTAGATCCAAGCACAAGGCCTTTTGTTACACGTTGCTGGTGGAGTGTCACTTCGCTTGTTAGGCTCAATGAGACACTGCCAAGCAATGGATTACGATAGATTATACAGGGTGCTGATGGGAGGAGAGAAGCGACGGGGTGGGAGTTCCCGAGCCGCTGGGTAAGTTCTAGCAGCAAGGCATAGTGAGCACAATAAGCCAATTGTCTAAAAGGTTACATCATTGCTCCGCCCATGGCTCAGGTTCACAGGTTTGCTATTACACAGCTGTCATCCCTCAAACTTTTCCTCTTGTAAGTATAAATTGATTTCAGGCCCATGGAAATGATGGTGGCACCTCTCAGACAGGTTTGCCCGCAGGTACATTCCTAGAGGGTCTTAAAGCAAAGAGAATGGTAAATAGTACCCGGCAGTGTCCCCTTGAGCTCGGGTTGGCATCTGGAGGGACGGATGCCATAACTTATGCTGCCATGCTAGCCCTCGCCCTGAACTCTGGTTGGCATTCAGGGAGTATGTACTTGTGATCTCTTCCTATCATGGAGTAAACTCTGAGGCCCCTCTTGGTGAGTTATGTGCCCGTAACTCACGATAAGTCTCCCAGTTACTGTTCTCCACCTGGGTTGTGCTGTCTCAGCTTGTTTTATGTTTAGTTATACAAACAGGCTACGTCAAGACTGGCATGATTTTCCCCAAATGCTTTTAACGGAAAAGTTTTTCCGTTAAAAGCATTTGCAGAAAAGAGCGTTTAGATTGGCACGGATGCTTTTGCGCAAATCTAGATGTGGTTTTGTGCAAGAAAGCCCCGATAGCTATTTTCGACAGCGGGGCTTTTTTGCGCAATACACTTTTTAGCTGTCTACACTGACCCTCTTGCGCACATACATTTGCGCAAGAGGGCTTTTTCCAGAATGGGAGCAGCATAGTATTTGCCCAAGAACACTGACAATCTTACATGAGATCGTCAGTGTTCTTGCGCAAATTCAAGCGGCCAGTGTAGACAGCTGGCAAGTTTTTCCGCAAAAGCGGCAGCCACAAAGTTGTCTCCCACCTGTCCCAACTTTTCCTTAGACAAGTATTGTCTATTGTTAGGTCCCAGGCCACAGACTAGGGCTGTCCAGTTTGGGCATACGTGAGAGACTTTTAACAAAGACTATGGTCAGAATCTTACATGCATATTAATGGAATTTTGGCTCTTCAGTGGTTCCACCTGAAACCATTTTGTCCCCAGGGGAGTTCAGAATCACTAGCAACCGGAAAAGCCCATTATTGGAAGGCAGGCTAGTCATAAAACCTCGCCCACTAATTCCCGTTGGATGAAATGCACAACTTTGAGAAACTCCTCCCATCTTGATTTTGAACCTGCCAGTGATGGAAATTCCTAACTGTCAGGGTGGTCAAATATTGGAATAAATTGCCAAGGGAGGTGGTGGAATCTCCCTCTCTGGAGATATTTAAGAACAGGTTAGATAGACATCTGTCAGGGATGGTGTAGACGGAGCTTGGTCCTGCCTTGAGGGCGGGGGGCTGGACTCGATGACCTCTCGAGGTCCCTTCCAGTCCTATTATTCTATGATTCTATGAATCCAGTTGAGCTGTTAGGAAGTTATTCCCATGGTGAATTCCCACAGCATTAAACATTTGCCTGTTATTTATCTTGTTTCACTTTGGGCCTTGCTAGACTTTGTTTGCTGGACCAAAGAACCCAAGATCAAACATTTGTTCTCCACGTAGCTACCTGTGCACTGGGATCAAATCATCCCTCAACTGCTCTTTGTTATGCCAGAGAGCTGGATTTCCTAGAATCTCCCACAAGGCAGGGGTTCCAATATCTGAATAATTCCCATAATGATTCTCTGAGTCCTCTCCAATTTATCACCATCCCTCAGTTGGGAGACGTTGACCTAATCCAATGACTGGGAAAACAGTAAGTTAATTTACCACATAGGCAGCAGGAGCGTCTCTTGAGCCCCTCCCTCTATCATCTTAGTTCAAGTGTCTCGCCGAGTGTCAATGTGGGCAACAGGCCACAGGAGTCTTTGTGAAGACTGGTGTTCCCGCCCAGACACCGGCTGGTTGGGAGGCTGCCCGGGGAGATGACTAATGGAGGGGTTGTGCTAGTGTGTTCCAGGTGGAGAAAGGTCCGACGGAGAGAACAGAAGACACTCCCATGGCTGCAAAGGGCACCTCCCTCCCCACAACTCTCTTGAGCGTCTCTCCCCCGACCTATTATGACGAATATGGGGAAATCTATGAAGATGATGCCCAGCAGAAAGCGCTGCTCAAGAACATGCATGTGCTCTCCATGGTGATCTACTCCATCGCCTTCGTGCTCGGAGTGACGGGCAACGGGCTGGTCATCTTCATCACCGGCTTCCGGATGAAGAGAACTGTCAACACCATCTGGTTCCTCAATTTGGCCGTGGCTGACTTCATCTTCACCTTTTTCCTCCCCCTCAGCGTGGCCTACACTGCCATGGGCTTCCACTGGCCCTTCGGGCTGGCCCTGTGCAAGATCAACACAGCCGTGGCCTTCCTCAACCTCTACGCTAGTGTCTACCTTCTCATGGTCATCAGCATAGACCGTTGCATCTCCGTCATGCTTCCAGTGTGGGCCCAGAACCACCGCACGCCTCGCCTGGCTTTATTGGTAGCTTTGGCTGTGTGGGTCCTGGCCTTGGTTTTGTGTTCTCCGTATCTCTACTTCCGCTACACGGATCACTCCCCGAATCACTTCCGCCACACAGATCCCTCCCCATTCAACAAGGACATCATCAACTGCTACAATAATTTCAACACAGCCTCGAAAGGGGCTACCAAGGAGGAGATCCACAGAATTATCAACATGAACCATCGGGCCATGACCATCAGCCGCTTTGTCTTGGGTTTCCTCATCCCCTTTGCCGTCATCGTGTGCTGCTACAGCACCATCTTGATCAGGCTAAGGCGGGGCCACATGACCCAGTCTAGTAAGCCCTTCAAGGTCATTGCCGCCGTGATCGTGGCTTTCTTCATCTGCTGGTTGCCCTACCACATCTTCTCTTTCCTGGAGTTACACCGGACCCCCAGCATGGACACTGCTCTCATCATTGGCCTCCCCTTGACCTCCAGCCTGGCCTTCATCAACAGCTGCCTCAACCCCATCCTCTATGTCTTCATGGGACAGGACTTCAAGGAGAAGCTGCGCCGGTCCCTCTTTTCTGCCTTCGAAAGTGCCTTTACCGAGGATGCTGTCAGCACCACGGCCAACACGAAGAGCAAATCCAGCATGGAGATGGAATCCCAGGCCACCTAGGAGCTGTGCCTTTGCCTAGAGCTGGGAACTGCAGCTGGGGTCAGCCCGAACCTCTTCTCATCATCCACAGGGGCAAAATGGACCCAAAGGACTCCGCCCTCCCATGGACATGATCCCTACTGAACCCTGCTTGTTCTGATATGCCAGAGACGATCTAGGCTCATGTGGTCTTTCCCCCTTCAAACACTACGCTTCTGTGAACCGATGCATTCATGCGGATGGATGGAAGCCAAAAAAGGATGAAACGGATCCTTCACTGATTTCTCTGTATTAAATGCATTCAACATAATGACCACAGACAGGCTTTTCTGCACTCAGGAGTGACGTCAGGGGCACCCCACGGCAGACATCGGGTCTTCATTTGGTCTTCCATTTGGTCTCTGAGAACAATCACAAAGGCCTTCTTCCCCCGCTTCTGTCCTTAACGCTGCCTTTTATTGAAAGTTCCAAATAAAATATCGGGGCCTGCAGAACTCTGGGCTGGGAATTGTGTCGGAACAGGGGGCTGAGACAGGGCCACAGGCAGTAGAGATCTGGAACAGATCTGCTGTCTTTGTTTACAAAAAAAAAAGACCGTCTCAATAAGGATCAATAAGGAGGGAATTCTTTTAGGGCTGGTTAGTTTGTGGTAGCAGCGGGGTCTCTCAAAGGGGTGACGAGCACATTAGAAGCCCTTGTCACTAAAGTAAAGGGTTTCTTTTTTGGAATAGAGTTCCAGGAGGGTCTAGTGGTTGGAGTAGGGGATGGGATGCTTGGATCTAGGACTCCTGGGTTCTACCTAAAGTTCCGGGAGGGGAGTGGGGGCCAAAGGTCACAGCTGGGGTTACCAACCCTCCAGGATTGGCCTGGAGTCTCCCAGAATCATCCTCCGTCTCCCAGTGAGGGTTGAAAGCAAGCGAGAGGTTTTAAGACCTTATGGCGGGGAAAAAAGTTCCGGAAGTGCTTCACACATCAGTCATCACCCAACGGGACATTAGAGATTCACACAGGGCTATTCAACTTTGGAAGACCCAAGGGCCACAACGATACAGCACATGCCGAGGGCTTCAACATAAGTGTGGTTGCATAGACATGCAAATATATATGCAACTATATGCAAATAGCTTTTTTCACACTGGTGTGCATGAATACAAAGCACTTCCCACAATGCCCTGGTGCTCCCGGCACCTCCTCCCAGGGGGCTAGAAACCCTGACACCCTGTTCTAGCCAATCCGTCTGCTTGCATCTTTCAGTGCTCACCCCACCTGGGAGACGCCTCAACACTGTGGAGCGTGTTCCCAGTGGGGGCCGTGTTCAAAAGATCCCAGCCGTGGGCAGCATGTTGAGCCCCGTGTAAACCCAAATGGCACCGCGGGCCACAAACAAACAGGCCGCGTATTGAGTAGCCCTGAACTAAAAGTATATGTCTTGTGAGCTGTGATAGCTTCAGCTAGAGTGGAGCACCCTCAAGACAGGAGGGCGTGTGGGGGTGGGGGCACTGGGACTGGGTGTGATTTGGGGGAAGGGCATGGTGGGGCAGGGTGAAGCGCTGGGCACAGGACAGAAGGTACCCTAGAGCGGAAATCCACCCAAGACACATGATGGTCCAAGGCTGGTCCAGTCCCCATCCAGTGAGATGGTGACAATGTGCTTTACTGAACATCTTTGTTAATGACCTGTATGAGGGGATGGATTCCACCTTTATGGATGACACTAAGCTAGGGGGAGAGGTAGATACGCTGGAGGGCAGGGATAGGGTCCAAAGTGACTGGACAGATTAGAGGACTGGGCCAAAAGAAATCTAATGAGGTTTAACAAGGACAAGGGCAGAGTCCTGCCTTTGGGACAGAAGAATCCCAAGAATTGTTACAGGCTGGGCACCGACTGGCTAAGTAGCAGTTCTGCAGAAAAGGACCTGGGGGTTACAGTGGATGAGAAGCTGGACATGAATCAACAGGGCGCCCTTGTAGCCAAGAAGGCGAAAGGCATACTAGGGGCATTAGGAGGAGCATTGCCAGCAGATCTAGAGAAGTGATTATTCCCCTTTATTCGACACTAATGAGGCCATATCTGGAGTGTTGTGTCCCGTTCTGGGCCCCCATTACAGAAAGGACGTGGGCGCATTGGAGAGAGTCCAGTGGAGAGTGACCAAAATGATTCAGGGGCTGGAGCACATGACCTATGAGGAGAGACTGAGGGATTTGGGCTGGTTCAGTCTGCAGAAGTGACGAGTGAGGGGGGATTTGAGAGCAGCCTGCAACTCCCTGAAGGGAGGTTCCAAAAAGGCTGGAGAGAGGCTGTTCTCAGTAACGACCGGATGGCAGAACAAGGAGCAATGGCCTCAAGTTACAGTGGGGGAGGTCTAGACTGGATATGAGGATATGCATTAACAGGTGTGTTATGAGCAAGACACGAGGAGTCGTTCTTCCGCTCTACTCTGCGCTGGTGAGGCCCCAGTTGGAGTGTTGTGTCCTGTTCTGGGCACTGCATTTCAAGAAGGATGTGGAGAAATTAGGGAGGGTCCAGAGAAGAGCAACAAGAATGATTAACGGTCTAGAGAATGTGACCTATGAAGGAAGGCTGAAGGAATTAGGTTTGTTTAGTTTGGAAAACAGAAGATTGAGGAGGGACATGAGAGCAGTTTTCAGATATCTAAAAGGAGGAGGGAAAAAACCGTATTCATCTTGGCCTCTGAGGATAGAACAAGAAGCAATGGGCTTAAACTGCAGCAAGGGAGGTTTAGGTTGGACATTAGGAAAAAGTTCCTAACTGTCAGGGTGGTTAAACACTGGAATAAATTGCCCAGGGAGGTTGTGGAATCCCCATCTCTGGAGATATTTAAGAGCAGGTTAGATAAACGTCTCTCAGGGATGGTCTAGGCAGTATTAGGTCCTGCCATGAGGGCAGGGGACTGGACTCGATGACCTCTCGAGGTCCCTTCCAGTCCTAGTAATCTGATTCTATGATACTATGAGGAAAAAATTATTTCCCTAGGCGGGTGGGAAGCGCTGGGCTGGGTTCCCGAGAGAGGGGGTGGAATCCCCATCCCTAGAGATGTTTAAGTCCCGGCTTGACAAAGCCCTGTCTGGGATGATTGAGTTGGGTTGGTCCTGCCTTGGGCAGGGGGCTGGACTCGATGACTCCTGAGGTCTCTTCCAGCCTTAGTATTCTGCGAGGCTGTGAACGTGCTGCCACCTAGTGGCCAGATGCCAGACAGGCCGCCCCAGACAGGTCCCTCCCTGCTGCCTCTAGTCCGCCAGAGACACTGCATGTGCGTAATGCTGGACACATTGGAGAGGGTCCGATACAACCAGGGTGGGAGCCGGGGGTCTGACAAGCACTAACTCCTGCACAAGGGCAGTTAACAGACAAGGGATGCCCCCTAGGTCTAACTCATGGGGCCCCACGCCCATCACAGGCATTCCGGCTCCCGGCCCCCTTGCTCCACCCACCAGATTCCACCCTCGTTGGCCATGATGGGATTGGGACGGCGCGGCGATGTGCCGCGTGCGAGGTCGGGCACGTGGGACGCTGCGGGTTTGCTGAAGAGGAGAGTCCGATTCGTGCGCGAGTCTCGCTTCGGAACGTGACCGTGGGAGCAGTGACCCTGGCTTGGTATTTCCACCCACGAGGAAGGATGCTTCCCACCTAGCGGGAGGGAAAGGGCCATGGGAACGAAGCCGATCTCCCTCCCGAGGCCCTCGGGGAAAGGCAGCCGTGACTTCGTGAGGACACGCGGTGTCACCAGGCCTCCGGACGCCATCTTGAGGGCGCGGGGGTCTCCCACAGACCTGCTGGGACTGGGCTTTGAGACGCAGGGTTTGTGCACCAGCCCGCGCCGCGTCAGCTCGGGAGCGACCGTGTCTGGCCTGTCTCGCCCCCCACCCACGGGAGGTCTGGCAATGCGGGGGGGCCAAAGACTCAACCGGGGGAGGAGCAGTGCCCGGGTGGCTGGTCCCCTCAGCAGAGGCGAAACCAGGCCCCAGTCCATGGCGCACACTGAGTTCAGTTTGCTGTTTGGGTTTAGTTGCTGGTGAGATGCTTGGCGCCGCCCTGGGAACCACGTCACACCCGCGCCTCACTGCTCTTGGCCTTGTTTGGCCCAGTGTGAGGGACGCGGCTCCCCAGGGCGAGAGTTGCCATGAGCCATAAGGGGGGCATCATGCTGGGGCCGCAAGCGG